CATGCAAAATGATACATTTTTGTGATATGGAATTGTGCATTTTTCCGTATCCCTATATAGATTAGAAACATTATTTTTAAGAAAAAATTGTATAAAACCTTATTAAAAACATGATTTTTTATAGGTTTAATTATAATAAAATTTTATTATTTGGTAATATTTTACATACAATTCAATTTATTTATATCAAAAAATTTTTTTAATTATAAATGTTATGTTTGGGGGACGAAGTCCCCTGGCAAATCGCATATTCTAGTTATTTATACAAAGAGGATGTTCTGATTAGTGCAGTGAAGAGAAAACGTTCTAAAATATGTGCTAACTAAATATAGAGTTTTTCCCTCCAATGAAATTTCTCAATGTCTTTACAACAACCGGTTTACGTAAAATAATTTCCACATATATTTAATTGGAAATGATTGTGGGCAGTGGGCAAAAAAAAAAAATAATTAATCCTTTCAAACATCAAACTAAAGTAATATAATTGAGAAAATGTTAATAATAATTTTTGACTTTATTTTGATTATTTATTTAATGAAATATGTATTACGCCTTCAAATTAAATATGAACAAAATTTATTTTGAAAAATTTAAAGTTATAAATTAATAAACTGGAGTTACACTTGACGATTGACGTCAATTATAAATCACGTGAATTAATGTTTCGATATATCTTTTGACATAGTATCGAAAAAGACAAATATAAACATGTTACCAAGTAATAATTCATTTTAGAACCACAATTTCGCGTTAATAAATTAATAATTAAATTGTATTTTAAATAAGCAAAAAGGATATTTTTTTTTTTTTAAAAAAAAAACAATGAAATGTTGTGCATGATTTTTTAATTTCAAAATTATTAATAATGTTCTAACGTATTTAATTTAATAGATAGTCGAGTCGTTGAAATTAAACTATAGAATATTGCTTGAAACAGCAGACCGATGTAAAAATTTCCTTTTTTTTTTTATTATTAATAAAGTAACTGCAAAGATTTATAAAATATTTACACTATATGATATAAGAATTACCGCTTTGTGCAATGGAATATTTTAGGCCATTACAATATTAACACTTCAAATATTTTAATCGTTGATATTATAATAATAGAATCAAACTAAAATTTTTGATCTCGTCTCTAATCATTAACAGTAAACATTTAAAAGGTAAAAAAAGAATTGACAAAAAATATTTGTAACATTTTTGTATCATAATAAGTCTATATACGTTTAAATCTGAATAATAATAAATTTGGTGTTGGAGGAATGAAAAATAGACTAAGCTAACGTGACTTACATTAGAAATTATTATGGAATGCAACATGCGTGATGAATTATTATTCTAATCTTTACTGTAACTTTGTTCATTTTGAGAATTAAAATGAAAATAAAAATAAAATAAATTATTATTCTAAATCTGTACAATAGAGCTCACGCGATATTTACAATGATCATAATTCATTATTAAATCGAATCTATTTATGAATCGTTAAACATATTGAGATTACAACTAAGTGTCAGAGAAATTAAACTAAGTTTCAATATTAGAAAGATCCAGAACACACAAATATATTTATTTATAAAATTATTTTAAAAAGATTTTAATTTTTAAATTAGATCAAATAAAACATTACGTATTTCAAGTCGCATTTAAATAATAAATAAAAATTGAGTTAATTTTCAAGTTCTTTCGCGTCTTATATTTGCTTAAAATTTTAATAATTTATTAATCAATAAGTATAAAAATAAATAATGTATAATTTAATGTTAAAAAACTAACGTTAATGATATAAAAAAAAAGTTCTTAAAAAATAGTACTAATAATTATATATTTATACTAGTAATACAACTTGTAGTTAGACTAAAACTTTCTCTGAACTTTTAAATCCGTATTTTGGACGTAATAAAAAATAAACAATGTATTAAACATTAATAAAAGACAATAATATCCATTAATTTACAATACATCTAAATAATTAAATTTATTATACCTCATTCATAAATTCTAATGCAATATTTTTGAATTGTTTAAACTTTTCAAATTAACAAACATATTACAATCTTTCCTTTACCAATTATGATATACTCTATCCCAATAAATAATATATCCATCAATCCAATTTGCTTCATACCTTTTTTTTCAAATATATTTAATATTATGAAATCTATTATAAGGTGTCCATTCTCCCTATAAGAAATATGTATACGGAAAGGATACGTTTTGTATACATTTTTTGTACGTTTCTATAGATTCCGTATACAAATTCCGTATATTTAATAAGCAATTCATTGTTGAACATTTTTTAAAAAAACTAATGTATAAGAAATGTATACGGAAAAAATTAATCATGCGGAATGTATACGGAATTTTTAAACTTAATATTTTTAGAAGATAATTTTACAAAAATCCCGTATCATAACACGAGATCACATGATTGTTTATTGTTTTGTTATGATACGTTTTTTGTTTTTTATATAAACCC